GGTAAGAAAGAGAGTCTGAAAAAATAATGAACTGTTAATGTTTTGTTAGGCTGTGGATGTATTTTAGAGCTGTTAAAATAACATTTGCTTCTACAGTGAAAATAGAATATTTATCTGTAAATCTTGTTGAGATAGTTCTGGATCGAATGATGGTGGCGCTGGCAACAGCGTCACCATCCTTGGATCCATCTGTAAATAAAGATTTATAAGTATCATACGTGCTTCGAAATTCATTAAATTGTTGTTGATTAATTAGTTGATTTGTGTCGGATTTCTTAAATTTAATTAATGTTAGATGCACTTCTGGTTTCACTAACTGCCATGGTGGAGAAGTGAACAGACGAGTGGGAGCTGTGTCTCAAGGTTGATTTGAGCAGCAGAAACATCGGATTGTATTCATATTCCAAGTGGTGGAATAAGAGATGTCTTTTTATTGTTGAGATTTTTGTAAAGAGGATTAAAAACATAGTCATAGACTGGATTGGATTTAGTAGAATGTAATTTAGAGATATACTGTAAATATATTTTGATGCGACAGTGTTTAAGGGATGGATGGTTCATCAGCCTCCACATACAAACTGTGAATAGGTGAAGTTCGGATGGCTCCAAGACAAAGCCTCAAGCCTTGGTGATGAATGGTGTCTAATAGTTCTAAATTGCTCTTACAAGCCCCACCATAGATAATGGAGCCGTAATCAAGTTACGAACGGATAAGAGCTCTGTTAAGTTGGAGGAGGGCTTTCTGATCCCCTCCCCACTTGGAATTAGAGACAACTTTTAACAAATCTAGGGACTTCAGACATATTTTCTTTTAGTATTTTATATGTGGTAAAAAGGTTAAATGATGATCGAAAATAATACCTACAAATTTCGCTTCTTTTTTAACTTTAATAGGGGTTGTTATCTAATAATAGTTTTGGGTCTTTGAGAGGTTTGTATTTTCTGCAAAAATTGAATACAGTTAGTTTTGGATTTGGAAAATTTAAAGCCATTTTGAAGACACAATTTATGGATTTTATTCAAACACAATTGCATTTGCCTCTTAATCATGTGCATGTTCTTACCACGTCAAGAAACAGTAAAGTCATCCACAAACAACGACCCAACAATTGAATCGTTTAAAACCTTTGATAAACTGTTGATTTTAATGCTAAAAATGTGACTGCCTTGTGGGACACCCTGATCCTGATTATAATGATCAGAGAGGGTAGGACCTGAAATTGCCTGTCAGTAAAACTTGCTTATAAATTGAGGCAAACGACCTCTCAATCCAAAAAAACATGTAACTCTTTTAAAATACTGTGCTTCTATTTAGTATCATATGCTTTTTCTAAATAAAAAAAAGATAGACACTGCATGTTGTTTGTTTATAATGGCATTCTTAACGAATGACTAAATGGTCAATAGTACTGCGATTCTTACAAAAAACACATTGAATATTTGTGATTAAGTTATTTGATTCTAAGTACAAAGTTAATTTATTATTGACCATTCGTTCCATGGTTTTGCAAACGCAGCAAGTCAATGAAATGGGTCAATAATAGGAAGGATCAGTATGATCATGTCCAGGCTTAGGTATGATAACAATGATAGCTTCATGCCATGAAGAAGGAAATTCCCCTGACGTCCAGATTTTATCAAATATGATCAAAAGTGTTTCTAAACGGGATTGCGGTAACTGTTTCAAGAAATGATAATGTATATTATCTGACCCTGCAGCAGTATCATAAGCGTGCAGAATGGACCTTATGAACGGAAAGGACTTCATTATAATCTTCCCCGTTATCTGAATTAAAATTTAAAGGTTTCTTTTCCTGCAGCTTTTTGTATTTTTGAAATTGAGGGACGAGCTCGAGGAAGAATGTTCAGCAAGAGTTTCACCAAGTTCATTTGCATTATCTGATCCCCATCTTTGAGATGGCGGATGCTTGATTTAGTACTCTTACCTTTTATTTTCTGAATCATGTTCCATACCTTGGACATAGGCGTCCGTGAATTTATTTTGGATACATATTTTGCCAAGATTGGCGTTTGTTTTGTTTGAAAGTGCGCCGGGTTTTAGCCGGGAATTTATTGAGATTATAGACCATTGGATGGCGTCGGAAATATTTTTTAGCCTTTTTTCTTGCCTTCCTAGCTTGTTTGCAGTCGTTGTTAAACCATTGTTTACGTATGTGAGGAATTGACGAGGACTTCGGAATACATTCATCAGCTATTCTTCTTAGTTCATCAGAGAAAAGTTGTATAGGGTCGGGAACATCAGTAAAACCGTGATGATGGAGGAACATCAGATGGTGACACAGACTTTAAAATGGTAGGAAAATGGTCACTTCCATAGAGGTGACCGTGGACTGCCCATTCAAATTGATCAAGTAAATAAGAATCCACAATTGACCAGACAAGAGTATATTCCAGTTGCAGGATGAACATATGTGTGAGAACCATCATTAAAAGGGCAAAAAACATTCTTTAAGAGAAAGTCCTCAAGTAGTTTTCCTTTAGTGTATGACATTACTACACCAAAGCAGGTTATGACCTTTCAAATCTCCCATGATGACACATGGTTTGGGGAACTGGTCATACAGTGCCTGAAGATCAGATTGTTGAAGAGAATCGGATAGTAGGATATACAACGAACACAAAGTAAAACAATATTCAATGTTATACGTACTGCAACAGCCTGAAGAGGGGTACTGAGAGGAACAGGACTGTGAATGATGCCCTGCCTCACCATAACAGAAGATCCCTCAGTTGCTTTATCACCTGGTGGGGAAAAGTTATGGCAGGAATCATACTGTCGTAAATCAAAACTATCTGTAATATTAAGGAACGTTTCTTGCAAACAAAATGCCGATGGTTTAAAATCTTGAATTATGAGCTGAAGGTCATTAAAATTGTTCCGAAGTCCTCTACAGTTCCTTTGGATTAAATTGCGAGAGCAACTCATGGGGGCTCAATTGGAGATCGTGAGCAGGGGGAAGTCTACACTCTACACTGTAATAGCAGCGATGGAGTGACCTCCATATCTAGAGGTTCAAAAGTGTTATGAACCTCCACAGGGACTGACAATGTTGACGGCGCCTTAATATGTTTAAGGGCTTTAGATTCTATTCCTTTGTTGCTTTCTTTCTTTTCTGGCTAGGGGTGCATCAGATTGTAGTGAGTGAGTGAGTGAGTGAGTTTCATTTTCCGGCAGAGGTTCTGTTTGTGAAGGTGTTGAAGTAGATTGGGATGAAGTGGAGGTGTCTTCAGTTTCAATTTGAAATAATGTTATTTGTGCATTTGACACCCAGCTAATAGCTGTTTGGCATCCGTTATCAACTTTGACAGAAGAGGAGGCAGCAGCAGCAGCAGAGGAAACTGCAGCAGAGTAGGTCAGTGAATGAGTGGAAGAGGTTGATTCGATTTTAAGCAGTTTCTTAGCATCTGAGAATGAGATATCATTAGTATATTTTAATTTGAGTATTTTTGTCTGAGTCACAAAGTAGGGGCATGATTGAGATGATGACATGTGGTCACCACTGCAGTTTGAACATTTGACGGTATCTGTACAGTCAGTGCCATCATGTTTCTTACTGCAGCGGGAGAAACCTGTTGAGTTGTGACAGGATGTAGCTCCATGCCCGAACTGCTGACCTTTAAAACAATGGAGTGGATTTAGTATATACACATCCACTTCGATGTTGGAATATTCGGCCTTGATTGATGAAGGGATCTTTGAAAGGGCAAAAGTAAAAAGGTAAGTTTCACCATCTTTTTATTGAACCATTTGACATACAACACCCTGGAGGCTTCAGTTCTGCTGCAATCTCCTTTTCGGACATGTCTGAGAGGCACTTTCCACGCTCACGTACAATGCCTCTACATGAATTCAGAGTTTTATGTGCCGAGACAATAATCATCAACTCCTTCGACAACCAGAAATCGTGGCCACGATTCTACATTGAGTACAGATTCATCATCAGAAGACACAACAGTATCTGTTTTATACACATTATTAAGTACACGCCGCGGGTTGAATATTGTTATATGGAAAACATTTTTGATCAGAAAATAATTTTCTACCTACATTTCCTATTCCACAACATATTTCAAAATACGTACTTACTTCTTTTAGACTTTAGTCCCTGTATGCTCCAAACAAAAAAGTTATTAATACAAGACAATTAATCACTGAAAGATGTATTAATTTGAATGGAGCCACGGCCATACTTTTATTTAGATTGACCCTTTAAAGATGATGACGCGACAGTTCTCCCTGTCGACACTGCTGTCATAGTAGTTGTTATTGTCGAAGTCCCAAATGCAGTGTTGGCTGATCTTCTTGTCAAGTTAAGATTGAATGTCAGTTACCATTTCGATATCACATGGTATGCTGTTCATGTTGTAGATATGAAGCCATGTCGTCGCCATGAAGGCCTTGGTATTATACGACAGACAACGTGACTGTCACATAAGATGCGAAGCTTGGACTTTGGTGTATTACGGGTGAGAACATAAAATCTGTAACGTAAGAGGTGTGATGATGCCTACATGATGAGGACGTAATAAAAACTATGTGCATAACAATTATTTTCAAAACAACTTGCACCAATGAATTTTATTATGCGACAGCCAGTTTCTTTTTTGTACAGTCTGAAGCATGATGACATTTTTTTCAAGCCTGATCTGGGACAATATGTTCTCTTTGATAAACTACCCCCTCCCCCACATGTTTTCCAAAATGACACATATTTAACATTGTAGTTCCACAAGACACATTTCTAACATTGTAGTTCAACCTGACACAGCTCTAACATTTAAGTCCATCGCGAAACGGGTCTTACAATCCAGTGGAAAGTGACACGTCACTGATGGCGTGGATTGATACTAATTATTTCAGTCACCTATTTAGCTGGATGCCCTGGTAAATCTGGCGTTAAACAACAGTCACTTTCAGTGCAATCTGACGTGATACCGCTATAAGATCCATTATATTAATAAAATATCCAAAAACCAAGAACATAGTTTTCTGTTTATTTAATGTCTGTTGACCTTTCAATGCTCGCTGGTACAGTTCTTTCAGTAGCTTGCGGCCGGAAGTAGGCAGTGACAGGAAGGTTCCGGTGAGAGCCACAGTGTTGCCAGAAGTAGGTCGCCCTCTCAAAACAATTATCATCAAGATCATCTGGGAATAAAATTATTTAATTTTGATCAGCTTCATGATTAGACAAAGGTGTCAGCCTCCTCTAATTTCTGTGAGGACCTGCAAAAATGTTCTGGTCTCTTTGTTGATAAAATACAGAATTACACTGTCAATGTGGGGGCAATGGTCTATTTTTACCTTCTATTTTCTCAAATGTTTTAGACATTTGAGAAATTTCACAGGTAGAAAACCACTGTCACTCACAACAAAATGATATATTTATGAGAATTGATCAATCAAACATCGAACCAAAACTGTCAACAATTTTAACAAGATACATGTATTAATGTTATCTTTTATTTTACTGACACGACTGAAAGTTTCACCTGAGCCTATGTTGGTGGCCCCCCATGCGTCATAGAAAAATGGTTTCAGCTGTTTGTCAGCTGGGCAGGAAGATATCTTGATCCAACATCCACCACCTGCAGTTCGGACAGTACCTGCAATATGCAATCGGTCATCCAACAGCTGTCATACAGGACATCGGCATCTCTCATCTTTAATACAGGTCATCAACAATCGGCTCCAATTGTTTTGGCCACCAACAAACGGCTCCTGTCATACAGGTCATCAAAAATAGGTACGTCGTAGCGTTTATCAACATCCGGAACCTGTTATACAGGACATCAATATCCGCAACCTGTCATACAGGACATAAACATTGAGCACGTGTAATATGGGTCATCAACGTCCGGCACCTGTCAACAGGACATCACCATCCAGTTCCTGTTACACAGGTCACCATCATCTGGTCCTGTAACACAGGTCATATGCTATCGGCTCCAATTGTTAAACGAACTGTATGACGAACAGTGGGTTATGAGTATATATTTTGTCTCCAGGAAGCTCCACAGAAGTGAAGGATGGTAATAAGGTGATATTATATCGCAGGCCTGAAAATACCAGTAAACAGAATTACCTGCATTATATAGAATGCGTGTGTCTTAAATATGCAACACATAAGAATACAAAATTGGTTGAACAGAATGCTGAAAAGTTGGAATGATGGATAGTATGAATACATTGTGGAAAATTGTGCTGTGATTTCTAAAGCAAGACATCACATTGGCAACAATGGCGACATAATTTGAGTTAAGGAAAGATAAGTCATCTGTTAAAATTCGGACGTTTTTAAAAAAATTATTCGAAAGCTAGATTTACTATGTTAATTTAACAATTCCACAAACCTTTTATGGCCCTGAAAAAAGGTCTTTTATACGGAATGTTTTTATCATCCACACAGCATATTCATATCCGAATACCTGATTCTGATAATATCAGTGGGGTACACAGAAAGTGAGGGCACCAACCTGTTGGCAGGAATATGCTCGTGACGGGATACTGGCGGTAGGATCCGCAGTACGCCCACTGAGCCCTTGCTCGGGATAAACATCCCTCGACGTCAGTACTTGCATTCTGTGCTTGTTCTGCATAAACATCGTGATGAAGACCCGGAGGGGCGTAATGTTTAGGACATTGTTCAAAGGCATTGTAGCAACCACTCCCGGCAATGGTCATAGCACCTGAAAATAGATATCATATTCTAGATCAGTACTGCCGTCCTACAATATCTGCTACTATGTGAAACACGTATACTCCAAGACAAACGTAACTTGTTCTTATGAAAAGTTTGTATTCATTCAGAAGCATGAAGCTGCCTTTTCTATGAGAACTGAAAGCGTTTATCAGTTTGAAGTGGATGACATTTGCTTTCTAAAACATGTCTGGGATTGGATTTTGCAAGTTAATTTCTGCCTAGTAGTGTTGGTTTTCTTTGCACAAGTTATGATGTAATTTTTGGTTAAGATATACCTTCACTTTCTCGTCGACCGCAATATACATTTAACCTTTGACAGACAGACAGACAGTTTATTCAGTAAGAAGGCCATAGGCCCATAATACAGACAACTGTTGATTGCATGAACTACGCATGCCAAGGAAGTAGTCGATTTAAGTTTCTCTTAGCCGTTGGACTTTATATAGATATAAACATGTGTTATATACAACATCAAAGTTTTCTGATGAAATAATTTCAGTAAAAGATGTTACAGTTTGAAACTTGATATACTGTTTAAGATACATATTTCTTAGGGCTGAATAACGCTCACATACAAGTAAAACATGAAATTCATCTTCAATAAAAGATATACCATTTTCTATACAATATTTACATAATCGTTCAGTGTATGGGACATTTGTGTATCTCCCCAAGTCAATTGCAAGTTTAAACTTGCTACATCTGAAACGAGTCATACATATTCTCAGATGTACTGGTATGGGGAGTGTAAGATATTTTTCTACATTCAACAGGGATTTAAAATGTTTATAATAAACGGTATCAGATATACTATTGATAGAACTACACCATGATTGTTGAAGGTTATCAAATAATCTTTGCTTAAAAAGATGAATAAACACCTTCACATTGCCAACATCTTGTGTTAACCATACATATCCAAAACCTAATTTAAACAAAATATTCTTAATGTGAGTAGCCCATGTGGTGCGACCAGAATGGTCCATTGATTTGAGCATTAAATAACATTGGCGAGGCAGTCAGCGCTCGTCCAAACGCAGTAGCCTGCACCAATACTTGATGGCCCTTGTGGTATACACAAGTTGGAGAGGGGCTCTTCCGCACTCTCCTAAAACCATTGCATTGTTTGTTGTTTTACCTGTATTTAGAAACCATTTACACATTTTGTTCTGTACATCTTCAATAATTTTACAATATGAGATGCCCCATATTTCTGCGCCGTAACACACAATAGGCACAATCATAGCATCAAATATCTTAAATAAATCTTGACAGGGTATATTACCAACTTTCTTTTGATATCTATATAATGTCATAATGGCCTTGTTATTCTGTGCAGCAAGAGTATTTAGTGCCTTAGTCCAAACAAGTTTAGGCGTGAATACAATACCCAAATATCTATAAAACGACACGGTTTCAATACATACACTATTAAATTTCCAGTTTTCATAATGTCTAAGGGGTCCGCCATTTCTGAATACCATAACTTTAGTTTTCTTCAAGTTTACCTTCATGCCTGTGGTATTGCAAGAATGTTCCAAGGCATTGATCTTCTTTTGTAAATTTAAAGGTGTATCAGCAATAGATGACACGTCATCAGCAAACATAAGTGCATATATTGCAAGGCAGTCTTTAGTAATAAAGACAGTTTGTCCTCCATAATTTTCCATAAAATTTACAAGTTTATTTATGAATATTAAAAACATCTGAGGGCTGAGGATGCATCCTTGACGGGTACCTATATTACACTTAAAGTATTTGGATAACCCAGTAGGTGTTCTAAAAAAGGCACACAGTTTATTGTACATTGATGTAATAATAGACAAAAACTTTCCGCAGACACCAATATCAGCCAAACTCTGTAACAACATATTGTGATCAACATTATCAAAAGCTTTTGAGAAATCTACAAATAAGCAGTAGAACCTTCCTTTCGTTTTACATGCATACTTTTGGATAATGGCCTGTAGTGAAAATATATGATCTGTCGTGGAATAGTTGGGTCTAAATCCAGCTTGAGATTCGTCAATGATATTGTTATCATCACACCACCTCTGTAGTCTAGCATTAAGAATAGATGTAAATACTTTGCATATGGTATCAATGAGTGATATGCCTCTATAATTGTTGGCATCATTCATATCACCAGACTTGAACAGAGGACAGATGATACTTTTCCCCCACACACCCGGAAAGTTACCACTCTCAAAGATTTTGTTAAATGTAATAACTAAAATAGGTGTAATTTGTTTCTCTGAAGACTTTAAAAATTCGGCAGCAATACCATCAGGCCCAGGGGATTTATTATTCCCAAGCTGGTTTATTTGACTTGATATTTCTTGTGCTAGAATAGGAATGTTAATTGTTAGATCATTATTGTCAGGGATATGGTACATACTGCTATCAAGTGCAAGATCCTGCCTAAAAAGAAGAGACATAAAATGGTTAGTCCATTGCTCAGTATTAATTGATTGAGTGACTGCATTAACCTTTGAGGACAGTTTGTTTTGACTTGAGCGACTCAAGAAGATCTTTCTCAGGAGTCTCAATGGACACGGCTGCACCAGCGTTTTATTGACATCAGATTTAGTTTAGCCCATACCCTGCTTCGACGATCCCACACACCTTCCTGCATGGTACCTACCTGTTGGCCCGAACACAGCCGTGACGTGATGAGAGCTACTGGAGCCACAATATTTCCACTCGTCAACAGCCCGACTGAGACACCTTGCCTCCCTCGTCCACATGGAGGCGTTCTTCTGTTCCCCTGTATCCCTGAACATGTGGGATCGAGGATGTCTCGGACACTGGCCAGTGATGAACCAGCACCCTGAAAGTGACCAATCCAGTATTTACATGGCAATGGGATGAGGAGTTGGTGCTCTGTTAAGGAGTGGGGTTGGGTTGTTTAGTGGTGTTGAATCCCCAGGATGATTAAATATTTCCCCATCACTGTTTACAACATGTACTAATAGAGAAGCCAGTTTATTAGCTAACCATCTGTAATGTTTGGGTATAAAGCATTCGGTCCAGATCCGTCAGATATATATGGAGTTGCAGGAATCTTTGTTTCCGGGGCAACAGTAGACTGATCACATGGCTGTGGAGTCGGAAGTGGTTGGAATATCGGCAACGCTGTGATAGGATATATAACGGCAATTAGTCGTTATATTTTGTTAATGAAATAGTTCAGATACCGTTATTTTGTGTTCTGTAACACAACTTATTGAAGGAAGAAATATGCAAAGTTAAAAGTTGAGTTAAATAATTGTACCATGGTCGATTTAATAACTAAAACGTGTTATTTCGATTCCAGACGAACAAATATTTTAACACTATGTTGAGCGGAAACGGCGTGGTTGACCTAACCTGTCTTCATATACGTTGGACCTGTACTTTGACGAGGGCCAACATCTTTCAGAGATATTGGTTCTTCAAAGTTTACACCATTCGCCCATTGTTTGGCACCACAACGAAGTCGGAAATCGCTATCATCTGGGGCGTAAAAATTCGACTTTTGAAGTTCCTAGAAACCAGAGATATGCGTCAGACACGTATCGTGAATGCATGTTACCATGTAATCATACAGATTACTGCTTTGAAAAAGGAAAGCCGTTGAACACATAATACCCTCATTTGTATATGTTATTATGTTAATTTATGTGCAAGGCACATTTTAAAGAGAAAATGTTACACGGACAATGATATCATTTGTGCATCTTCATGGGGGGGGGGGGGGGGGCCTTAATCATATTAAAAAACACCTGTCAGTGTAACAGAGTATTTCTTCTGCTGTACAAGTTATTTTTTTACAGTATATAGCATAAATATTATTTTTAAGCATTATCTGGGACAATCTATTTTTCCGATAATCCAAGCTGAAGCCCCTCCGACCCAGAGTATCAAATGGTCGGTCCTTATTTACATGTGTATAAATGATTGCTCACCATATGGTTATCACTGACATCGAAATACCTCTTGTAGGCAAAATTTGGCTGAAAGTAAAGGATCCCCTTTTGATTTCCTTTGTTCCAGAAGATGTTCTTGTAGATCTGGTTACCTGTGGATACGAGTGAGGAGTTATGCAGTCATTGGTCGGTTGGTGTCTAACTGTAAACAAGTTGGTTGAGAAAGACAAATCTGCCGGATTAAATATCTACCTGCACCCATATGCGAGGTGCGATCGACGGATTTTCTTCATTACATGTCTTTCTGTACATACCTATGGAAAGGCATGCAGGGATACCTGCATAACATGTAGGGAAAGAAGGACGAATTTGGTGGCCTCGGGAGAGATACACGAATTCCCTCCACTACACACACACATTGGGAGAAATAGCTTCCTAACTGTACTAATTGTACATATATTACACGGGTTACCTTCAGGGTAGAGCCGCGTTCCAGTCTGCAACGTACTCATTTCAGGGTATTTTGATCTCCACAGATCATTTTGGTATGGAACAGACTGAAATAGAACCGGATGTTATTATCTTTTCATATTTTAAATGTCCAGTTGTCAATACATGTTTAAATGAAACATACTAATCTCCCAGCATGATGTCAGTATCAGTACATTTACAAACCAGTTGTGGGTTTCCTTTTGTGCATGAGTGAGTGAGCTACTGTCATATTCCAGCTAAAAATACGGCCTGTAAATGAGTCAGAGGCCAGTAACGGACGCGGAAAGCATCAGCAATATTTCACGGCATTGGGTACGATGTCCCCCTTTCAGCCTGATAATCCGACTCCTATTTTAGTGGCCTATCATGACAAATATGAGCTTTTAAGGGCTGAACTGGCATTCCAAAGTTATCGGAAAGTGTGCATGTGGTGTAGATGAATAATAATATACACCTGGGGAAAAGGAAATCGCCTTTTGAATAGGTTAATCAGTGTAAGGTTAATGTTTTTCGTAAAATCATTTCAGTAATAACGCAAACAGTTATACGTTTGTAAAATGTGCATGTTTCCTAACGGTTCTGACATGTAAAGCAATCCACTCGACCCACAGTCACCCCATAATCAAAGCACGATTTGAAAATATTCTGTAGTCTTTATTCTTATCCCAACGTGGCTCTTAAGAGATTATCTGACATCGAAAGGTGGTGAATAATATGCATGATTAATGAAGGAATATCCTACAAATGGTCAGCTTGGTTACCACCAATCGGTTATAAGCAGACAGTCACAGAAACATGTATAGAGGTAAAGGAACGTCCAAGGTGTAACGTCATCACGGGAAGATCGCGACTTGCTCCACTTGGTCACGCAACAAACTTTTCCTGCAGGCACCTGTCTGAAGGTGATGCCCCAGAAACAATTGTTGTCGCTGACATTTAGAAATCGACTCAAATCAGCTGGTTTGGAGGTCCAGGAGGTTGATCAAGCATCCAGTGCTGTCAGATCGCCATCACATGGATAGTTTGTCATGGTGTTTGGCGAGACGTGGCTGGAACCAGAGGCATGGAAGAAGATCCACAGGTCTTATGAGAGCAGGTCATTTTTGCAGACGGGCGTATTCGGTTCTGGTGTCAAAACGGCTCAGCACCATTTGTCACTTCCTTTCCCATGCCATGGGCTAAGTGCAGGGGAATCTCACGGGTGACTGGTACAGGCGTTAGATCCTGGATCACATCGTTGTACCCTATTTTGGTAACCATCCCTTGGCTACCAGACCAGTCAAAATGGATGATATCGCGAGACCCCACGGTTCACAACAAGACTCAGGGTTACTCCAGCAAAACACAATCAATACTATTCTCTGGCGGTCCAGGGGCCAGATACAACAGGTGGACCCACTGGTCGCCAATCTACGCACTCTAGATAGTCTTGTCACGGGAAACTGTATGGGCCATGATGGTCAGTTTTGGCACAGTACAACTGTCCAGGGCACTCTGTCGCACCTAAATTGAACCACGTTCCAATTTTGCCAATTATACAGTCAATTAAATGTACACCAATATTAGTAATACCAATATTATATCATGATTGTGGTCCAGAGAATTACTCTTTCTGGATATAGCAAATGTTTAGATTTGGGAAAAGTGCAGTTTTCAGATATCATGGCCGAAATTTGCGGAGGCACTTATCTCTTATCCAGGTGAACTCATACATGAATCAGCATTTTATCTTGTAAAATGAAAATGTAACAAACAGATTATGTCACTACAATCGGAACGATCTATAGTAGATGCGTGCATTGTACACCCCTTAAAACACCTCCTTCAAACACCGAGACATAACAATCGTTATAACACAACATGCATGTAGATGTTCCACGGCAAGGTCTGGTTGTAGTCACGTCGATCTGAAAACAATACAATAGAGGCAGCTCATTTCTTACAGCGAGATCTCGGTCAAGTATTCTATGGACGTCAAAATGTGGCGATGACCCTCTGGCGTCTACTTGTATACTCTCCGAGACACTGTCGTACATGACGTTGTAGCGGATGATGTTGTCACGGCCGCCACCAATGTTTGCATGAATGTCATTCTACAATTAAAAAAATCTCAATTACATCAGATTAACATGCCAATGAAAGATCAGATTACTTTGAATGAAGGAAGGATATTCTGTCGGTGCAAAACCATTGAGCCTTTTGGAGTTTGAATACTATACCCTGAAATATCGTTGGATGCAATGTCAGAAACCAATTCTATTCCTCAATACTTCATAAGGTAGAAGGTGATGGGATGGGATGGAGGTTGGATGGTGTGTGGGGGGATGGTTGCACTGTGTTCATGACGCTTGTCTTAAAGTAATATTTCGTTTTTCTCCAGGGCCGAGTGATAAACCTGGCAATTAAACCTTATGCCTTGCCACATCTGATTCCCAAATAGTCTGTACTTGGTAGATCGAGAACTATATGCCGACTTTGACCTTCACACAGGCGGTAGTAGTAGTGCAGGACACTAACGAACACACGGTCCCCTCCTCCGAATCGGGTCATCATTTCATTATGACTTTTGAGTCATTTATAAAGGACGAGGTGCGATAAGGGGCACACTTGTCAATTCACGGATCACTTTCAAATATTTGCACAATGTATTGTACTTTTCAGATATGTTCAAATGGCTAATGTCGAGTCGTTTTCTTACGTACACTTGTCAGTTTTGGGCTTTGGACATTAAACTACGAATACTCAGAAACACTTCCTAAAAACGTCTGACATCACCTTGTTTTACACAATTATTTCCCCATACATTAAGAGTTGTTACTGGTCCAAAGAATGCATATGCTGAAATAATAGCAATTTCTAACCTTTAGAAATTATGTAGATCACGTGTGCCACACCTTTTGTCCCCAGCTGTTTCGATTTTGCTCGCATGTTATTTTTATCCGATCGAGATACGAGCAGGTCTTGCAATTTACGTTGTATTTTACTATGCTTAGACGCTGGCTGTGTAGATATTGTTAAAGTACGAAAGACTCACGCGGTAGAAGACGTTGTGTTCAATGGTGACGCTGGAGTACTGGTCGTCAAGCATGACGCCTCTAACACCTGATCCTGGCATCAGCCTGATTGTATCGTGGATATGGTTGTAGCGGACCTTGTTGCCTCGCTACCAGTAGTACACATGAGGTATGAAAATGTCCTTTACATAATTATTATTTCCTGGTTAGAAGAAAACATTTAGGGGCACATACAAATCTGAAACAAGATGCACTTATTATACAAATGCGAGTAACTTCAAATCGTTGACGCCAGAGAAAACTTTCTCGAATGTCGGCCGAACAGATTCCATTGGGTGTATATAGACGCTGTGTCTTTTACTCTTTGATTCAACCAATGGAACTGGCAATATTTGTATATTTTGTGGTGATTTCCAAATTGAAACGCAAAGGTTAATTAAGAAATTGGTTAGGTACAGAACTAAATTGTGAAAAGAGAAAAAGACCACCCACGAATAAATAATCAATAAATAATATTGAAACACAGAGCTATAGATTCACAATCAAAACAGGCAATGAGATGGATCAAACAAGTCAATAAGTCATAGGCCCTATAATATGTTACTGCACGAGAGTCCAGTATTTTGTCCCTGTAGAATGTCATCAGTGGGACAGGATACGCTAACCTTTGCGAACACCTGGTTCCATCACAGTTTGAAAGCGATTCGTAACACATGATCATGATATTGTGGGAATCGTACAATGGATTCTCTCTTCAGCAGACATGTCTTATTGTATTATTTCTTATGGTTATCACTTGTATGACTTGAAATATGCCTGTCCCTGTTCTTGAATCCGGAATAGTGTCAGAAGCTGGCAGGAATTCACTGTTTACAACGACCTATCCAATCCGCACTTGGCGAGTATATAAGATCAAGTCATGTAAAAAAGGCCTTGAGTGGCTTCCATACAGGTACAGCCGGACATTTAAAAACTGTCACATCCCGAACTTTCTCGCGATCGAACAATCATCAACAGCCAGAGCAGGTAACTCTAAATTCCCCTCACTCGCTGCCACAGATTGCGACTTGACATATGGCCACCGATTGTGCCATATGCGCTCGACATTTTACCTGCGCTTCAGTAATTTATTGCTACTGACAATCACGTTTACTCTGTACTGATAAAGAACATTTACTTACACTGTTGTGAGGATCTAAGGCGTCGCAGTTCGTTGTGAAGAGTTTCCCTCTACCAGACTAGGCATGATGATCGTTGGTTTGAATTGGAGATTCGTGACAATTGTGATCTTTCATCTTTCATCATCATTCCCGTGCGTGTGTTTCGCCATAGCGGCAGATCGATACGCCTAACGATACGTTGGGCTTTCTTCTTACATTTAGTTAACACTCCGCACGTAAAATAATCCAGCGTTAAACCTAAACTCACTATTGTGTAATTGTATCGGGACTAAGAAAACATAACAGGGATAATACTGATGGTGAAAACTTACAAAAGACCAACTCCTTGTTGCATGTAAAGCACCACAGTCACTCGCATTAACGCAGTTATGGTGGACGTGATTATACTCCATCACGTGGTCGTTACCCTGGAGAGAAAGACAAAATCGGACTTTGTCAAAACATAAGTAGGAATTACGGCATATGTGTTCAGACTGATTCACATATATTACTTTCACCATTGTGTCTTTCATAAGAGATAGATAATTCTGAATTGTGTTTATTCTATAAATTACATTTTCTAAGGAACTTTAGAAATAAGGGCTTGTTCATCGCATTGTCATCAGCTCGGTCATTATATTTATTAAACAACGCCACAAAAGTCGTCAGTGACTTTATGAACAATGGATGACGTAGTCGTTACTTCTTTTCGACGAAGTAGGTTCACAATTAACCAATGGAATAATAGACGTGGTTAGCCATTCAGTGTAAAATGTGTATTGAATTGCTCGGCGAGACTAAATTAATTCGCCCGATATTCATGTCAGATATGGTGTTGACATCTTTTACTACATCTTTCACAAATCTTTTTCTCTCTGGAACAGAACCTCATCACGAAGTACATACATCGAACTTGATGGCAGCATACTGTCCGTCGTGGATGTGGTTGTACCGTATGAGGTTGTTGACACCAACACTGTGTATTGCGTTCTGTCCAACTGCCCCCTCTCGACTGTACCTCCAAATATGATTGTCTTCAACCACGTTACCGGAGGCGATGAGGTTGACGCGGTCGCCACCTGCAGACGTATATTACTGTTGACAGTATATGGTTTTTGTACGGGAAATCACATTGCATGATTCAAATTAAAAATGTGCTTTTATTATTTACATTTCAAAGCAATCGATAATACACCTTCAACTGCCGATAAATATGCATGTAGGTGAGAAAAATACTTGGTACAATACTTACCAAATAGATCTATGCCTCCATCTCCATCGTGTATTTCACACCTCGACACGGTGACGGACCGACAGTCTCCTCCACAGTGGAATACATAGGAACCTGGTAAATGACAAATTGAGTTGAGGAGAGAAAAAAGTGTCAAGGAACTGAAGGGACGAAGGCGTACTTGTAGGAACAAGTTAAGTTGTGATGAAGGAGTAAAGGCTGGAAGGTCTCATCTTCAGTTTTGAAGATTATGTCGCGCAGACTACATGAATTTTATAACTGAATATGTTCGATTAAATATATACTCAATTCCAAAAGAAGCCCACACCTTAAAGTATGAAATGTCCCAAAACGACATATATATATATATATCCATTATATAGATAAAATACAAAAGTCCAAAGGTGAGCTGTATAATTTACTCAACCGGTTTCACGCATGTGATTTTCAAGAGTACAGTAATACCGTTACTCTGTTTTGACGTCACAGTGCACTCTTAACATAGTATGACGTAACAGTGCAATCTAAGGTGTGCCTTTCCTTTGGAATTGAGTTGAGATCTTGTCTTTTTGCCTTTTTCACCTACATACAAATATGTCAACAACAACACTCAGTCCTAAAATATTTAAAGACAGCTGCAGGTGTGGTTGTGAGGTAGTATTATGGTTGAATACGTTCCGATTCCACACATTGTTGACAGTGATTGAAGCCCACTATTGGTGCTTGCAATCCCACAGTGATACAGCTGGCAAACGACACGCAGGCGCAAATATCATGCTCAGTCATTTAAAGTCTATTGTCCAGCACTGAACTGATTGGCAATGTGTTACCTGTATTCTTCAGCTCAAGTTGCCGCAGTTCTAGATTGGACACGTTTTGGGCGTTGATGCCGAACTTTCGACATGCTTCCAGGGTAAAGTCCTCAAATCTAAGGTTGGACACGCCGGGGTCTAATCTGGGAGGATATTTCAGGTAAAGTCTTTGATAGGGATTTAGAAGTTAGAAGAACATACACACATGACACTATTTATGGATAGCAACTTCTTTTATTCTTTGTCACGACGTTTCAGAGCTACTTCTTGCTCCTTTCCTCAGGTGAAAATATTGAAGGAGCAGCAAGTAGCTCTGAAACGAAAGAATAAAAGAAGTGGCGATCCATAAAAAAACTGTCATGTATTCATACTTTAGGTGAGACAGAACAAAACGTGCATTTACGACATATCTTATGCGTGTTCGTTGCAGTAGAGTAAAGTCCAGATTGATTTAATAAACTTCAAGGTTGGAGGAAAGTGCATGGCATGAATACATAGGGATGTAAAAATTTCATAGTCAGACCTACTTGATGCAGTCATCTACCATTGACGCATACACAACATCTGATGACGTCAGTGCACCAGTCGGTGTATTGGGCCACACGTACAATATCCCCGTACTTCTGTCTATGTAGTACTCCCCCTGCAAGTACACAACATCTGATGACGTCAGATCATCTGTCCCCTGATTCTGTCATTTTAATTTCTTAATACAATGTTTGCTTCTGGTCCCGCACGCACGAAGCCATCGTAGCTCTAGAACTAGTGTGAATCTATGTTAAAGTATAGGAGTTACAATAGTCTAAGATCAGTGTGTCGGTCCTTGACTAGAAATGGACACAAAGCATATTCCATATTTAAGTACAATGTCCAGTGTGACACTCACGGGTTCATCAAGTTCCGAGAGCATGTTCATCACTCTGAAGTAACCGCCTTGATCGGTAATTCCCGTCAAGTTGCCGTGGTTGTAGACACCTGCAAGGATTGTATTATCATTATTCTGCATACACTCATAGATAAAGAACTGATGAATAGGTGTTTACTCCATAGTCAGTGCGTGCCTTTGATTATTAATATTTCCATATTTCTGGCAAGCTTTGAACAACATATTCCAGTTACACCACATCGCCTTATGTCAGCCTTATGTGGGAGGAAAGCCCGAAGCAATCTTAGTCTTAGACGTTTACCACTTTGGTGGAAAACAGGAGCACGGGTATGGATGGTGCTGACAAACGTGGAAACATAATCGGGGTGAACCGGGATTCGGACCCATGATCAAAGGCTTCTTGCGTGCCCTAGGGACGCAACTTTGCATAGTGAATTACGGCGCTTCAGCCGAATTCGCCACCTTTTCCCTCTCTGGCAAGCAGGGTTGACGAGCTGGATTCCACTTGACAGACAGACAGTTTATTCAGTAAGAAGGCCATAGGCCCATAATACAGACAATGGTTGATTGCATGAACTACGCATGCCAAGGAAGTAGTCGATTTAAGTTTCTCTTAGCCGTTGGACTTTATATAGATATAAACATGTGTTATACACAACATCAAAGTTTTCTGATGAAATAATTTCAGTAAAAGATGTTACAGTTTGAAACTTGATAAACTGTTTAAGATACATATTTCTTAGGGCTGAATAACGCTCACATACAAGTAAAACATGAAATTCATCTTCAATAAAAGATATACCATTTTCTATACAATATTTACATAATCGTTCAGTGTATGGGACATTTGTGTATCTCCCCAAGTCAATTGCAAGTTTAAACTTGCTACATCTGAAACGAGTAATACATATTCTCAGATGTACTGGTATGGGGAGTGTAAGATATTTTTCTACATTCAACAGGGATTTAAAATGTTTATAATAAAAGGTATCAGATATACTATTGATAGAACTACACCATGATTGTTGAAGGTTATCAAATAATCTTTGCTTAAAAAGATGAATAAATACCTTCACATTGCCAACATCTTGTGTTAACCATACATATCCAAAACCTAATTTAAACAAAATATTCTTAATGTGAGTAGCCCATGTGGTGCGACCAGAATGGTCCAGTGATTTGAGCATTAAATAACATTGGCGAGACGTAACCAGTGTAAACAAAGGATGACTCAGCAGAACCCGAAATGTGACGTACAAAATGCAACAAAATAGCTGCCACGAAAAGGAAAAACACAGTAGCCATTTTTATTACTATAAGACACATGTATGAGAAGTTACTAAGACAAAATTGCCATTGTACATTTATTATTTTATGTCTGTAAAAAGTTAAAAACAACACGAAGAAACATCATCGAAGTTGCATTACTGATTTTAAAGTATGTATATACAAAGATCGATAGTTTCCCTGACATATATCAGAACACATAAAGGCTATCAATACCTAGATAATTATACAAATAAATGAAAGTAATAAGCTTTGACGATAACGTCACTTGGAGGCTGCTAACCAGAGTGGTGCATTAGGTAGGAGGAACTTAGGTCAACCGAAGTGTGACGTACATCAGTTAGCATGGTTAACCAAGGTTAGCTTTGGTTATACCTTGGTGAGGACGGTTTCGACTGGGTTGTCCATGGTTTTGAAATCGAACGTTAGCAGTATTTCAGTTTAACCGTAATCGATTTAGAGCCAGACATGATGCAACAGCGAATATCTACACTCTATCAATCTTTGTACAATCATGTCACATTGAGGCCAGACACCCCTCGGAACAGTTACATGTATGCTCAAAGCGCAGCAGCGAAATAATCTGCAGGACATTTCATACTTTGTTTATCCATCACGACTGACAGTAGTTATACTAACAATGGTTGTGTTTTCTTTGTCGTTGAAACTAACCTGCTCGCATGCCATGGCGGTCTTTAGCAGCCAGAGTGATGGTGTGGTTCACAGTATCTATTTTACGTATCTTCAACGAAAGGTCAGCCCAGCTCCAGTACCTGATGATGGATCCAACATGCAATGTATGTATGGCACATGCATTGATACTCACATACGTATGTTGTACTCGTGTTAGGAAACAATTGTCAGTCCCCGAACATGTTCATATCCAGAACAGCATGACTTATGGCGCGAGGTTATTCTAAAGTTATTCTAAGTTGGATCAGCTATAATAAGAATTATATGCATGACATATATTTCTTCGCACTTGTTTGTTTGATATTTAACGCCGCACTCAACATTCCAGCTATATGAGGGCCTCCTGTAAATAGTCGAGTCGGGACCACACAGTCCAGTGAGTGACATTATGTGCAACGTCCAAAGCCGCTGGGCCATGAGGACACACAAACAACCGAGTCACCGAGCCTGGCCAGTCAGTCCATTCACTCGCCTCTCACGACCGGCATAGGTTGCTATTACTAATGCTATACCACATATTTACACGCCTTCCCCAAGGACTGGCTGTTCTGAATGCCGTTCGGAAACGACGCATTACATAAATATATCTGATATCCTTTTCCATTGTGACAGCCGCTCATTTCCTTGTGTGAATAAACCTACAAAAGCAGCGGAAACATCCCATTGTCACTTTACATGGCAATGTGGGAAGGACTTACCAGAATCCATATGCCCATGGTTCTTTTTCATTTGCCCACCTCGAATCACGATTCGTATTGTACGAGAACTGGTATCCATACTGACTTTGCACAGCCGTGATATCTATAAAATCCTGCGGCACATAAATCAAAATACAATTATTATATTGCATTATATTGCGTAATTTAAACATAGCTTTGAATTTGTTTTACCTAGCATTTCATTTTCATAATGTGTGGATGTGATTGTACATTTCCGCCCAATTAAATGACCACGTTTGCTTTTGTGACACGCGCAGTAATTGCAATATTGCCGTTGACACGTACAAAGGGGTGACTGAAGTTTACCTCTGATTCATTGTGTCATCATTTAGATAGAGCGACCGGTGTACATGTCTTACGTGATTCGGCCACTTGGCCAGGGTGAGGGGTTGACCATTGATAAACAGCTCCAAGGGGGCCTGTCTGTAGACGTACCAACCATATGAGGACAAATTGCCGTAGTCCGAGATTCCCACAGAGGGCAGGTTAATCTGCTTGATCTGAGTGGAATATTTACATGTCATAACGAAGAGTTTGCCATCATTCATGCCACTATTTGACTCCTTAACAAGACTTTAATTAACTATTTCAAATTTGGAAAAAAAAACTTTAGTGATTATTTAATCATTTTTGGCAGGGTTCAAGCTGTTCCCAAACCGCTACCTACTCACATGTCTCTGAGCTTCTTTGCCCCATAAACGTAAAAGTGCTGTGTCTGTGACGCCCTTAAAATGATTGACGGGTAGACGACGTCCTCCTGTCTAAATCAACAAAATCAGTTTGATACTATCATCATTCAGTAAAGGAAGACCTGAATAAGGGCTTTTCAACTTAACTCCTTGAAAAACTCAATTCCTTGATTCATTAATTCATTGGGCACTTGCCACTTAACGTGGTGACTATACATATAGTTACATCTCTTAAATGAAAGCAAAAGTCGTCTGAACAATCTGAGAAAAGAACACGTGAGATGCTGGACTTCCTCAGTGTAAACATCTATTTGACGTTTTGGGATAGGACAATTAGGCAAGACGTTGGCAATTGTGCTCCTCTCGTTGCCGATCTTTACGCATGAATTTCCAGACTTTATGAGAAAATTCTTTATGTCAAAATGTCTGCTCGGATTGGCAATATCAAAACAAGGGAGTTTTGACATAAAGTTTAACTTAAGCTTCGATGATCTGATACCGTTCAATAATTGTCAAACAGCCAATTCCCTCCCACTGATTTACCCACGTCAACTAGAAATAAAAGAGGCCAATATAATCGCCTCATCTGTTATATATTTAGATCTATACAAAAATATTCAGAGTGACGAAACACTCCGTATGACCTTATGTCTAGAGGGGCTTCAACTTTCCAATAGTCAACTTTGTCTTCATGTCCAGCAGTATTTCAGCTGCTCCAGCCTTTGGCGTCTTCCTTTCACAACATGTGAGGTACAATCGATCATACCACAGGTGAGGCAAGATCCGGACATGCTTACTTTTTCGCAAACACGGTGTTTCACTGATCCATTTATATCATTTTTCACAGCTATTTTGCCTTTTATGGCTTATGGCATGTTTCGGCAGATAAAAATTGTTTAATCAGGGTTACAACCTTCCAGGCCTAAGTAATGCTTTCAAAAACCTTTATCATAAACATGTGGAGATTTTGACGCATTATTGACACAAATTATGTTTTGACGTACTAAATGTGCCCGTATATTTCCAGGTGAACAATTGACTTGACTTTGCCTGTGTTTGTGACGGGTGCTACCCGTCGGGCAGGGTACATGAACATGGTTGTGACGCCTTTTCGATTCATAAACAGGTATTCATGATCTTGTCGGAATTGTACAGTGGACCGCTTCAGCAGAGATTTCTTATGCTTATGGATAGGGATATTAAAAGACAAGAAATATGAAACAACACAGGCACTCCATTGAATGATACAAATTGACATCAAGTGTCATCCATTGAACCAAAAGTGTGTGCCCTTTATGCAGACGGTCTGTTGACAATGTGTCTATTGTATATTTTCTTCGTGATCCATACTGTCTTCATTCAAATCAGACCCCTGTTGCTTGTATAGAGCATAGCCGACAAAAGCATACGGTTCCGCATATGCTTGGCATTTGGACGATGTTACCACGGTATAACATATGCAACATATATTCCTCTTATCATGTGCCCCACATACATGTGGTCTATGGTCATCTCCCTCGAAAATATAGGGCCATGGACCATGTGTCTTGGACAGACATACAACACTCTCCACATATAGTCAGCCTGTGAACGACGTCCCCAGGTATATATCCCTATATGTGTCCAGATCATCGGTCTGAAACATTTCTCTGTTGTTTACATACCACGTATATCTCGTGACTTTGGTAGGCATACATACCACGTGCACCTCCTGTCCTTGGTAAGCCCTGAAGGTGACTGGAGACTGGTAGGCGTGTGTAAAGTGAAGAGTTGCCGGGAGGTCATAGTACCCCGTCATCAGCTCCACGTTAATGGCTGTCAAGGTGGGTATGAAACATGGCTTGTGACTAGTTAGCGGTTGAAACATGTTTCCAGTAGATAGCGGATGTCTTATGGTTACAAACAGTGAATGATCTAGTGGCTACATACATAGTGGAGAGCTCCTGCACGTCAGAGGTACATTTTACTGTGCCGACTATAGCCACGAACTGCTTACTGGTACAGCTAATATAGATATAGAGAAATACACTATTTACTGTTTCAACTATGCGATATAACCACATACTGCGTAATGTTACAACTACATAGAGATATGGACATATACTGCTGACTATTACAGCTATATAGATATATTATTAGTCATTGTGTCTTAAGTTGCCGTGTACGGTGTCAAAATAGTTTTCTGCTGACCTAATATGACATCGTATACGGCCACTAAACAAGGGATTAGCTACACATTCTATCCATATTAGCTATAATAACGGTAACGTTATTTTTCAGGTCATTATCATTTGCAGTAACCCACGATCTGTTCAACTGTCCTACTTCGTAGGCTACTCTAAAATTTTAATTAATAAAAACACGAACGTGATTTCTTAAAAGATTAATGTCTTTGCACATCCCGATTAATAATTTGAAACACAAAATAGTGTCGAATAACGAATTTCTGTACCAGAATTTGGATGTGCAATATGTGATGTGGGGTATTGGAAAATCCAAGTTGTCTGTTACTTATGGTATGCGGTCTCACATTAGGTCAGAATCAACAATGTTGGTTTTATATTGACGGTATACGGGCTCATATTGGGTCAGTAGTTCTGCTCTGTGATTGGTCAATCTCACTTAGAAGCATAATAAAGACATAACTGCTTACTGTTTCCTTTTATGTTGGGTGTTTCCAACAGTTGAAGCACTCTGTGGAGAGTCTTGACTGGATAGTGTACATCAAGCCTGCGTACATGTTTGTTAGTGATTGAGTGTGAGTGATCGCATCGGCAATATCTAAGTCATGTAGCAGAGTATAGGTTATACACTCATAACATGTTTGTACAATAAAAGAGGAAGATATATATAACAGATTCAATGTATTAATAAACAAGTAACGGTGAAACATATCTAGAGGAATTAGCCTAAATGTATGAACTACATGAACAATAAACGAACACAATTTATACAAATTGTCACAATTTCTCATATAGAACAAATTCTGTAAGATATTGTAAAATAAAATGACGGCTTCAATGGGTAAAAGGTCAAACATTTACTTATTTATAAGTTTGTGCTTCACATATTCGAGCACATTGGGATTGAGTCAAATTCCCGAGAAATACAAATAGGAGGTTGGTAATTGAGAAATATTCATAAGTACACTGAATGTGACCAATAGACATCGTAGCAATATGACCTTATACCTTGACTGACAAAGTAGGTACATTGTGTATGACCTAGTCTTGCTTTATAACACACTGACGTACAGCCACTGTAGGGACCGTCCAATGTGTTTGATTGTTGTGTAACGCTGCACTCTGCAGTATTCGAGCTTTATGAAGGCGGACTGTAAATAATCGAGAAAGACAATCCAGTCCCACGCCGGCAGCTAAGATGATATACAATCAATCAAGTCACCAAACCTGACCAATCGGTCCATTCAGTCGCCTCTTACGACCGGCATAGGTTCCCGGGGACGTATTCCGTCATTGAGTGAGTGGAAATGGCTTTACACCAATTTAAGCAATATTCCAGTAACGACAACAGAAGTGGGCTTCACACATTGTACCCATGTTGGGAATCGAACCTGTGTTTTCGGCGTGACGAACGAACGCTTTAACCAGTAGGCTCGCCCCTCGTCCCTATTCAATCATGGAATTCCCACTGGTTGAGGCAGAAGATTTCATGCCCTATTACAAGATTCCTAAAGCCACTCGAGGTAATATTTGAATTCCTGTGATACCTGCTCGTAAGAATGAATGAAGACTCGTTTATATTACCGTGGCTGCAATACATGTTACATGTACGTTCAATAATATTCCATGTGTCTGTCGGAGGATATCGGTCTTGTAAGCATGTTGTAGAAACAGACGTACCCAGTATTGGAGTCGGAGCCGTTTGGGGACACATACAATTCCACCGTCTTCCCCAACGATGATGTCAGAAACGTCAACGCGATGATGAACACTACGAACCCAAACATGGTCCTAGGTCAGTGAATACCAGACTGAACAGAATAGGTCATGTGTTGCAAGCTCATAGTCTAGACGGGAGATTGACAGATGTTAATTTACATGTATACATGTTGTACTGTTATCTTTGGTCAAATGGTCTACATTCATGATAAGCTATCATACATAATTTTACATTAATAAATAAGTAATTAAAAACTTAAAGTCATGTCATCAGTATTTCAGTCTTATTGTGACTCGAATAGGTTATTTATAACACATAAACGCTTGCCGATAAGATAAACATGGCATGACAGATTAACTACGGTAATGTGAAAGAATAGAGTGTTCTTGAATTTCTTTTGAGTATTATATAATTTGCCTATATTACTTAAAAGTCTCTCTGTAGGCGATGTTACCTTGGGCAATCTGATGAAATACTGATTATTAATATGTCCTTAGCCGAAACAGTCTAACATTTCTTATTTTAGTTATGATATGATAGGTTTTCTTTATTGGGGGTGGAGGTGTTTCTGACCCGTGAATTGCACATGAATGTGCCGAACGAGCTTAACATGCCGATCTCTCGGAAGCATGTGTTCCCACAAAAAAGGTCGGTTCTCGGTACATTGTTTGTTTGTTTCAGACTGCCATCATTGGACTTAAAATAAATGTAAACTTCCTGTTTTTGTTCGAATTTGTCTCCTGTAAACTTCTCCTTGTAACTGAAATACTTCAAACCACAGGTAGGACGATCGGTAGTTACTCGATATTTCAATAACAACAGTCTGTGAAAAGTTATCTCCTTTTTTAACACGCAAAAATCAGTTTTCTAGCGTTTCGGACAGTACTTTTTTTAGTACAAATGCAAGCAGTGACAGGAAGCTTTTTTAACAATTATTGATGTATATTTAACAATAATTGAAACATGTATTGACATTTTGTACATGTACACGTTTGATTGCTCTCTTGCAGACCCAGATCTGCTGAATGAACATGACGACCTTTTTGAAAAGGGCCATTTTTTAATCATTCTGAAAACTCCAACCGATGTTCATTCATTATCAGACCCGTGAAGACTCCGAGTTAGAAAAGGTCTTCAGCAACCCATACTTGCCGTAAAAGGCGACTATGCTTGTCGTAAGAGGCGACTAACGGGATCGGGTGGTCAGGCTCGCTGACTTGGTTGATACATGTCATCAATCCCAATTGCATGGACCGATGCTCATGATATTAATCACTGGATTGTCTGGTCCAGACTCGATTATTTACAGACCGCCGTCATATAGCTGGAATATTGCTGAGTGCGGCGTTAAACAACAAACCAACCAAGTCATTCATTATCAAGAAGAAACTTTACGAAAGCCAAGTGGCTCGACAATACATATGACACTACATGCAAACATGGTCGTTTAGATGATTTCCATAACTTTGGATTCTATTTTCCTCTCAGATTATATCCACGTAACACCTACGGACACACACTCACCTACCAACAGACAAGCACACATACATACATCACTTGCTTTTTACTGTTTATAAACTGTAATATTAGTAGAATGATTCTTGATGGTAAATAGAATCCCCCCCTTGTCTTTTTTATGTCAAATGTATCCACTCGTCAGTGAGTTTAAAACTCATCGTCAAGACTTCTGTTGATATATCTGATTCTCTTTATCCTACAGAAATTGTAATTATTTTATTAAATTGTTTGTATATATTCCATGCTTGAATTAAAGTTAATATATTCTTCAAGATGTGTTTTACCGTTTTCTATCTAGTTGGTTTTACATTGAATCTGAATATATTTCTACAAATACAAAACATCGTCTTTGTAAGGCTGAAATATTGCCCGATGCGAAATTAACTTTGACATTATCACTCACACTCATTCAAGTACCTAGGTTAAATGTACACCACGCAGTCAAGACTCTCCACAGAGTGCCTCAGCTGTTGGAAACACCCGGGGGAAAAAGAAACAGCAAGCAGCAGTAAATGTTTATATTTCTATATAGCTGTAACAGTCAGCAGTAGATGCCAAAAGTTCAATATAAGATGTAACAATAAGCAGTATATGGCTATATCTCACTATAGGTAGGTGTAGGGTAGGTGTCTATCTGTCTGAATGACTTAATAGGCGCATCAGTTCACTGTGAAATCTTCTCTAAACCGAGCTCTCCACTATGTATGTAGCCATCACACATCCGCTATCTACTTTAAGCATGTTTTAACCGCTATCACGTCACGTTTCATATATATACTAGCCACATAAAGAAACTGTGCACGGAGAAAATATATTCTGGATTGAAATACAACACAGCAAGAACAAAATGATGCAGACGCTGTAGCAGCTGAATGATCGGACCATAAGAAAATGTCAACGGGACCTGAACAACATCTGTTACGATGACGTCAGAAGATCAAAATGGAGTAGGGGGTCAAACGAGAAAGTCACAAAGTCAATAACGGGTATGACCACCCTGTGCGTGAATCACAGCAGTGCATCGGCGACGCATGGAGTCCACCAAATGGGCATGGAAGGCCTGGGGAATGGCCTGCCATATCCTCCTCAAATCCTGTGCCAAGTCACGGACGTTATCTGGAGGATGTGGAAGACGATGGAGAGATCTGGAGAAATTGCAGGCCATGGCAGTAACATGACATTGTTATGGTGAAGGAAATCCCTTGCGACCCTAGCCGTGTGAGGACGAGCGTTGTCCTGTTGAAATGTCAATCCCGGGCCATGAAGTTGCAGGAAAGGAATGACCACAGGCCTCAGAATCTGATCTCTGTAGCCAACACCGGTGAGATTGCCCTGAACAACCACCAAAGGGGTTCGGTGCCGTGCTGTTATCCCACCCCAAATCATCACAGAGCCACCTCCAAAACGATTCCTCTCCACAATACAGTTGCGTGCATAACGTTCTCCCAAACGCCGGTAGACACGTTGGCGCCCGTCACTGTGGGAAATGTTGAACCTCGATTCATCTGTAAAGACAACATTTCTCCACCATATTCGAGGTTGGCGAACATGATTTCGACGCCATCTTAGACGGTTGACTCGATGACGGTGTGTCAGGACTGGACGTATGGCAGGGCGTCATGGTCGAATCCCGTACTGACGTAAACGATTCCTGACAGTGTTGGGATGGATACGGCGCAGTCCAGGAATTGTCTGGGTCGTCGTTACTGCCGTTTGGAACCTGTGTCGGAGATGTGTAACTCGAATCCATCTGTCCTGTCTTGGCGTCGTTACTCGGGCACGTCCTGAACGTGGGTGGTCGGCAACGTCTTTGTGTTCTGATAACGCCTCATTTTTGAATGACCACAGATTATGCTTTCCAAAGTGACAGCGAATTTTGAGTTGCACATGCTGTGTACAGCTGCACAGGATGCACGTGCAGTAACACATTGCACGTCCATAGGCCCCCATCAATGACGTCATATCGCATGGCACGTGCATGAGCGTTTGAATGTCTCCAATAATTGCTGTGTTCAAACCTATATTTCATATATGGACGGTGTGCCCTTATATCTATATTTTCTCCGTGCACAGTTTCTTTATGTGGCTAGTATACATTGTCAGCCATTGGCATTGAGCTGATGACGGGGTACTATGACCTCCTTGCAACTCTTCACTTTACACACGCCTACCAGTCACCACTCACCTTCGGAACCTACCAAGAACAGGAGGTGCACGTGGTATGTGTGGCTATTTGGGACATAGGTTGTGAAAACCTCCTTATCTGATTCATACTTAGATCGATGCATAAATATTCAGAATGACAAAAAATATCCACAGGGCGTAAGAGCAAAACAGATGACATCAACTTTCCAACAACCAGTACTTTTGAAGTACAATTGAGCATTGTGTTTCCAGGGAAACATCAAAGGTCCTCAAAGGTTTCTCAAAAGTTGTTTGATCAGGGTTACAGCATTCAAGGCGTTTGTAAAGCTTTCAAAAAGGTGTAGGACATTTCCAAATTTGATGCGTCAATCACAAACATGATGTTTGATGCGTTTCACTATGTTGACTCGTACTATACATGTATGTTCCCGTGTTTTTTGTGCCTCCTTTGCCTGTGCAGATAACTATTAGCCTCAAAACTGGAGCTTTCAAAAGCAGCATGGATAAATACACTGAATACATCAATAAGGCCAAAGGCCACGAAGTTGTTGATGGTCTGCATGGAATATGAGGTCACAACGACGCTGTATTAAACTATGTCTGCTTACATCAATAAATTTCAGTCATTCAAACCCATCATGTGATTGCATGGATTGTAAGGATCCCTTGGTTTGTTTGTTTGTTGTAAAATGCCGCACTCAGCAATATTCCTGTTATATGACGGCGGTCAGATTGCTTTTAAATATATATTAAATGTTATTACACGTTTTCAATTCCATAACTTCTCATTGTTATGTATACATACCTGAAACAATACCGTTGCGAATTATCATTTGTGTTATTAATTAATTATTATTTACATGTACTCACACTCACTCACTCCAAGGACAGGAGATGTTAATTGTGCCTTCCAAGGTCAGGTGATGCACGTGATATGTATTCCTATCAAGGACAGTAGGTACACGTGGTATGTAAAGGAGATGTACGAGGTACAGTATTGGTCCATAGGCACTATATTTTCGGAGGACTTGGCCTGGTGTGTATGGTTTAGACAAATGGTCCACAGACCACATGTATCTGTTGCATAGAGACCAGGCCCAATGAGAAGAATATGTTTTGAACGTGGTAATATGCCATACAGACACGGTATATAGACGTTTTGTATGTGTTGCACGTGATATGTACATGTATGACTTGGAGTAATATCTGCAGAATATAGAAGCATGTGTCTGCAACACCTCATAGGACTCAATCACTTGGAATCGTCCACAATGATCTTGAGCCAACTCGCATTCAATAGGATGACACAAATGTTAAGGCTATTACAAACGTGATGGAAAACGAGTGGATCAATCCATTTAATAGAAACCCATCCAAATTTATCAGCATTTTCACAGCTTCTGTTGCTCCTCCTGATCTTCTTCAAGCAAAACAGCAACACTTTTCAGTGGACAGGATTGAAA